ATCTCTCCAGGAATATCAATGTTTGTATGTCGGTCAAGACTACTGAGCTTCGTTAGTTTTATTTTTTCAACCAGTCTGTTTGCTGTCTGGCCTATTTGGACTCCAACGGTATGATATGTCGTAACCAGGGCGTAGTTTTCCTGACGTAAAGATAATAATGTACATGTAAAGCGTTAGCAATCAAAGTTATTAATGAAAACGCACGGAAACGCGTTTGAGTGTTGTTTGATAGCTTTTCTGAATGATTAGTGTACTGTAAAAACACTCTTCTCTGAAGAAAAAAAGGAATTGAAGAGCGCAAAACTCGCTATGTGGCATCGAGTGATTGTATGCATTAGAAATCGGGACTAAATTATATATTTTATGTTTTGCCATGGTGGTAGTTGTTCAGGATTGTTTCAGGAAACGATCAAAAAAATTATTACAGAGGAACGTTCAAGCATGGCTGTGTCATTTATAGTTATTGCGGAGGACTTTTGCGATCGTAAAAGTACAACATAGTTCGTAAAAATGTAAAAAGAAAAGTAACGACATTGTGTTCATAAAATAGAATGGAAAGTTCCTGTTACCTCTTTTCAAGCAGTTTCCTCAGATTATTCTTCCTCTAGGTCTCTCCTAGTCTATTGCTCGGCAGGTTGACAACTGTGTCCAAAGGTTTTGTGAAGAAGTAACATCGGCGAAGGAAAATGTATCATTTCATCACAGTTTGGCGGGTGATGGCGAAGACTGGTAAAGTACAGTTATGAAATCCTGGAAATTCTGAGAATGGCAGATCCCGCGTCTAATCAATAATTTTGAGATCGCGCTGTTTGAATAAACGCTGCCATGATTGTCAAGCGAGGTTCGATCAACTCTCATGTCGAACTTGTTCAGAGAAGCGAAGGATCTTGCTCAGTGTCCAAGTAAAGTTGTGGTAACAGTCTCTATGGAACATATTCTTTCGTTCTTTAAAACCTCATCGTGGCGGTTAACAGTAAACTTAACGCGACGCGAAGTTGTCCAAACTTTGTCGCAGTTCGAGTCCGTTGTGAAATTAAATTTGAAAACTCAGGTGTGCTGATGCGCGCATGGCAGAATAAAATAGTGTCATCAATTTTGAATTTTAAACAATGCAAATGAGCCGGTTTCCCGCGAAGGTGCGTGCTTAAATTCTACTTATTTGTATAATA